ATGCCTAAATCTCGGGGAGGTTCTTGGCTACTGTGTTTTTGGCAGCGCTGGCCTTACCGACCAGGCTGTGGGTCTATGAAGGTGGCTCTCTAGCGGGGTCGTGAAAGGCAGTGCTGGAGATGCCTGCCCGCGCTCAGCAAGCGTGTGACTGCCGAGTCATCACCTTATCTTGCAGCTGTCTCTGTTTCTGAGGAGCTTGCTATGCTTAATGTTGGTCATTAAGCCACAGCTGAGGGGGCAGAAGATGGTCGAGCTTAAAAATCTTTTGCTGTTTTGAAAAAGAAGTAGGTTTGTAACCTCAAGTTTATATGTTTGCATATAAGGCGTAAGAATGCCACCCTAACTCTTTGGAGAAGTATAACAATCTTGTTAAACTCAGTGAAACTTTATAGGGTTAATAAAAAGATTTTTTCCCCGAGTCTTTCCTGTAACTCAGGATGTGGTGGCTCTGTGTGCCTGGGAAATTGTTTGGGTTTTGTCTCTGTACTATCATGCTGCAATGCCATAGCAAGCTAAAGGGTGCAGTCTTAAAACAAAAGTTGCTTATCACATTTTTTTAATTTCCCAAACTCTTTCTAAGAGACTGTGAAGTCAAGGAAACTCCAGACAACACCAAGCAGACTGGAGTATATATGTCGGTTACGAGGGAGAGACTGGGTCAAAGCACAGCTGTGGAAGTAGGGTTTGTGACTTTGGTGACAGTATAGAGGCTGTCACATATGAAAATGATACATTCTCAAAACTACAGCCTTTAAGTGCTGGATAAAAGACCAAAGTGTTCTTGAGTTTTGGTCAGCTGTAATAAGGTTCGGTGCTTGGTTGTGTGTGTGGGGGAAGCATGCTAGAGGAACACATTTCACTTGCAGGTGGTTGTCTATTTTCTCATTTGTGAACTGAGGCATGTCTGAGGATCCTGAGTTTCTGGCAGCAGAATAACACTATTCTAATTATTGAAGTTCGGATACAGTTGGCATTGGAGGATATATCTACATTAGTATTTTAATTCAAATAAATAATGTGCTCGTGAAATGACTTCCCAGTCACCCTTGCTTGCCGCACATTAGTTCACGTCACAGTGTGATCTGTGAGCATGTGAACTTTCTTCCTTTTGGAAGAAGCTGAAACTGGAAGGTACGCTTCAGTTGTGAGTGGGTGTTGTCAGTCTAGACAAGAGCTAGTATGAAATATCACAAAAGAGCATGTATAGTGTGGATGTTGGATCCTCAGTAACTGTTTATTTCTATGGAGCTGCAGCTTGTTCTGTACTTACTTGTTAATGTAGACACAGTCTGAGCCTCCCATCAGTAGAGCAGGTAAATTGAATATAGCTGTAGCACAACAGCACCAGGGATTGATCCCTAAGCTTTCAGAGCTATAACTGTGACAGCTATTGCCTAAGCTGCAAGACTCAAGTTTCGTAGCTGGAAGGCTGTAGGTCAGCTACATGGAGAACGGTAAGCAAAAACCCTGAGTGGAATAATTGTCAACATTGTCAACAGGAAAAAAAAACTTCAGTAGCTTAATAGTTTTCATTTTCAATTCAACAGTTTCCATTATTGAATGGCTTTCAAACTTAGAATGTTTAAAAAGTGCTGTAGCAACATAAGTTTTCCTTCTTGTAAGGATTTAATGACTTAAATGAATAAAATAATGCTGCATAGTTGCTGAAACAGTAACTTGTTGGCGTTTGTTGAATTACTTTTCCCCTCCTACATCCACCTAGCCTTTGTGGCAATAATGAATTAATGTTGTGCTCATGTTACCATCACTGTATTTGAGATCTTTCTGTTCTGTCTTGAGTGGTTGGTTTAAAATATTCTGACTTGTTTTGCTCTCTTCATCTTCCTCTTAGGTCTTCCTTTCTCAGTGAACCAGCACGATAATTACTAGCAGCTGCTATAAAATCCAACTTACAATGGAAAAACTGAAGTTTTGCATACTCTTTTTAAATCATCCTGTTCCCCAAGACACTGGTGAATTGAGTGTCGGGTGTCTCTGTGTTAAGTAACTAAAATGGGTTATGGGGACAAGCTGGACAACTGGTTGCCACTGCTCTACAGATAGTTTTTTTTTTTTTTAACCTGGACTTTGTTTTCCACCTGTTGCAAATTAGGAAGGTTTCCAGTTGCATCACTTCATTACAGACTTTAGTTTCAAGTGTTCTGTGTTTCAGGGTAGTTTCAGTGTCATGGCTGAAAAGCTACAGTAATGAAAAAAATTTTAAAATGTGCATAGGTAGCAAAAATGCTTTTGTGATTAATACTTTTTTTAATGAGTCTTTATAAAATGCTACATATTGCAAGCAGCTATGTTAAAGCAACTCCTATTTTTGACTTGACTTTCCTGTGAATCAGTTCCTCTTTGGTTTAAAGGGAATCATCAGTTTGAACACCTGGAGACTTACATTTCTAGCTTAGAAACTAGTAGCTGGTCCTGTGTTCTCAAAACAAGTCCAACCTAAAAAGCTTGTTAGAATTGGGTCTGTAGTGTGTGTAGAATCCACTAAAAACTACAAACTTGCTTTCTGGAGCCCAGTCATAAATTTTTTTTTATACAAAGATTAATGTGTTGTGTGAAAGTCTGTACAATAACAATCCTTTGAAAAGCACTGCTAGACTGTTGCAGCCTTTTGCCACTAATTGTACTGTTACAACTTAAAAACCACGCTTTGATCCCCTGCTTCAACCTGTGCATATTTATCGGAGGATATGAACAACGCTCCCAGTTAGTTCAGGTTCTTACAGCTTGGGATTGACTCCAGCTTGACAGGGCCCTAACACCTTGCAGGTCTTAAGGGATCTGAACAGAGGGCAACAGGAGTCAGAGTAATGACCATAGGCTAACAGTTACCTCACGTGGAGGAATAAATACAAGTCATGTTTGAATCATTCTCCCTGAAAAATTTCTTCTGACTTTTACTTTAGACATGGGAAAATCACTTTCTCACTTGCCTATGCACACGTGCAAGGAAGATGGCTATGATGGAGGCACGGTGTCTGATAATATGAGGAATGGGTTAGTTCACTCGGAATCGCACAATGAAGACAGCAGATGTGGAGATGTATCGCAGTTTCCTTATGTGGAATTTACAGGAAGAGACAGTGTCACCTGCCCGACTTGCCAGGGAACAGGAAGAATTCCACGAGGTAAGTTTTCTTTATTTCTTTTTTTAACCTAAAAATTTACCTCGTAACCATGTGCAGTTGTAACTATAATAATCCATAACAAATAGTTCTCCTAGTCAAGATGAAGTTTTTTCATTTTCTTTACTTTTTAGCACTAAGCGTTTTGTTTCATTCATCCAGTGTAATCATAACAAATTGGGTCAGCTTTGGCCGTTACCTGTTGGGTCTCTGCTTGTGTGTACAATGGCAGTGTTCCTGGCTTCTCAGCTTTAAATTCACACATAACCCTAGCTCTTGAAAGTTGAATTTGAAAACTTTTTTATTTTTGTGACATTTTATTGCATCTTTTCTTAACTACCTATTTTCAACTATTTGAATCAATATATAACTTTGCAAAAATAGTTGCGAATGCAGAGTGCGAAAAGTAGACCTGTGTTACAGGAGTAGGCTGCACAGTCTCCATGCCTAGCCCTTTTGTTTGCTTGCTGCCCAAATCCTTTGCTTTTCCTTTTCTTCTAATGAAACATTCTGCTATATTACACTTCTATATGATAAGCCACCTGAATAGCTATTTAGAAAGGAGAATGCAGGATATCTGAAACTGGGCAAAAAGAAAGAGTAGCAAATGCAGTGTGCCAAGGTACAGCCTTTTGCTTCAGCTGTAAGATCCTCCCTTTGATGGCAGGGAGGAACTGATGAGAAGGTTTCATGTTGGGTACTTTGCTTTTGCCAGAACTCTTAGCCAAAATGGATTATTGGCTGTAAAAGCTCTCAGAACTGATTTTGACCAGCAGCTCAGGAAAATTAACTGATGTCTGTGCCATAGTGTCCTTATACACGTGCTTCAGTCAGAATAGGTTCTGGTGTAGTTCATAAATACTTCTGTTCACCTGCAAATCAGTGTCAGAGGGCACAGAATATTTAAATGGTTGCAAATATCATAAGAGACTGGTGTTGTAGCTGTTCATCTTTGCACTCCAGTGTATTCTTTGAGTACCTCTGAATTCAGCAAATTTGAAGTATGGAAAAACTATGCAACTAAAAATTATCTTAACCAAAAGACTAATAGAGAAGGAAGTTTGTTCTGTTAGCTTGCTAACTTGAAATACTTGATAATATCAATATAATAAAATAGTGCTAGCTAAAATAGAGTAATAGCAGGATTCCTATGTTCAAAAGCTTATTTCTTTGCCTGTAGGATTCTTGGATGTAATACTTAGACAAATGTGAGTTAATTTATTAAACATTTTGCAGTAACTATTAAAAAAGCATGTTCATACATTCTAGTGAAATAATGTGATTAAAGCTACAGCTTTATATAAGTTACAGAATAAATAGGGCTGTCTTTAATTATTCTTCAGTATTTTAGAAAAAATAGATTCCCCTCTCCCCTCAAAAAACTTTGCTCAGCATAGTGATTCAGCATGGAATCACTTCTGTTTGATTAGCTAAGTGATAATGCTGGTGAAATGCTGCATGACTTAAAAAATGCAAATCTGACTTGGTCTTGAGGCCCCTTTGTTCTCACGTGGATGAATCTCAATTCCATTTTCTTGTACAGCAAATAGCAAAAGCTATAAAGGCAGGTGTAGTCCATGTACTTTCAACAGCTCATCTGTGCTTGTGTGTTTTATTTCTACTGTCAAGATATCCCCCTTTTAAAAATGCTGTCTAGTGAAGGAACTTGTTGCTTGGAGAAATTGGTGTAAATACTTTTTGGCTTCTAGGGTACTGCATCTCAGTCCTGTGAGAAACGTATGTACCAGTGATTTCCAGAATGCACTGTATGTACAACTTCTGTTGCCAGAGCTAACCAAATTGATACATGTATTTGTTTTTAAACAAACCTGACTTATGCTTTTCAGAAGAGTGTATGTAGAATGCCTTCTGGATCAGTTCTTACTGCCTGAGCTTCTGAATGTTTTTTCCTATGACTTTGTATGGTCTGGCACAGAGAGCTGGAAGCTGTTGCATACCTCCATTTCTCTGAAGGAAACAGTGCCAGAGGCATGCTGCCCCTGTGCATGTATGCAGCACGGAGGCAGAATTTGTTGCTGTTTTAATCTTTGTGAGCTTGGTGTTTTTAACTCTGTGTTGTGTAAGCCACTATCTAGTTCAGAAAGTGACATAAGCTACAAAAGTAATCTACTTGGGCCTGTCTGGATTTTATCTTTAGTGTTTATTCTTTGGTGCCATTAAGTTATGTCGGGCACTCTTTGTTTGAAGCAACTGCAACAATACTTATTCTTTGTTTGTCTAAATTCTGAAAGGGTGTTTTTGTTTCCAGGGCAGGAAAATCAACTGGTAGCATTAATTCCATACAGTGATCAGAGACTGAGGCCAAGAAGAACGTAAGTTAATAGTTAGTTGTGATACGTGAATCTACAGTTAATTCTTCTAGTTAAAATTCAGCAATTCAAAGGTGATAGGGTCAAGAAGAATCAAGCAAAAATCACTGGAATGTTTTCTTGCATTCAGTATTGAAAGAACCCTGCTTGTGAGTAATACCAACCTTAACCTGTAACTCTTGGAGAGTTAGTTGTTAACAGGTGTGCATACTCCCAATACAGTATGTCTTACGAAGCTAAGTAATACTGTATGATCTCTTCATGTAGATATTTATCTGAATGTCTACAGTAATTATGCAAGTATTTATCAATCTCTGTAGTATCTTAATTGATCTAAGCAGATACATCTTCAGTGTTAAAAGTCTGAGTAAAGTGATAACTTCTTTGGGCCACTACTACAAAATAAGTCTCCTAAAAATTAATTTGTAAAGCTCTGAGCAGCTAGCAAAACCAACAAATTAATAATTCTGATGCAGAATATTTAATATTTTCTTTATCTAGGATCTACTTAAAGGTTTGATTACAGTGCTTAGAGCTTCTTCTTCTGACACTTTTTGATGTGGTATGTTTTTTGCTTAGAATTTTAGGTGTTTCTGTACAGAAATGAGTACAAAAAAATACAGTAACTTCACAATACTATACTAGATCATAAAGCTGATGTGGTAGTAGTACAAATTTGAAACATATTACTTTAGTGTTCTAATTTTGAGAAAATTTGAGCTGCAGTAGAGCCTTTTATTTGTGTGGATTTTTTATTATCATACACACACCCTTTTATATTAGGTTAATTGTGAATTTCCTGTTTCTTAGCAGGAGTCTAACACTTTCCCTGAAAGTTTTTTATTACAAAGAATCCCATGCAAGAGCTTTATTCTTTCTGGGTGTGTTATGCAAGAGTCCTGCAGGATGACAAAAGTTCTGCTATAAATAACTTCTAAGAGGAAGTCTTATGTTTCAAAGAACATAAATATTTACCTCTTCCATTTTCCACTTTAAGCTACAAATATTGCCATAACCACATGTTTTGAAACTTGTTTCTGATGTATATACAAGAGTAATGTCTCTGAGACATAGATGTGAAGTGCACCATAGCTTTTTTTCTCCCCTTTGGGAGCTAGAAATGGACTGAACTAGTTGTATTGACTAGTCATGCTCCTTATCACTTAAAATAACATGCCACTATTGTTTAATGTGCTTTTGACTCTGAAATGTGCTCTTTTTTCCTCCAGAAAGCTCTACGTGACGGCTTCTGTAATTGTATGTTTACTACTTTCCGGGCTGGCTGTATTCTTCTTGTTTCCTCGCTCAATCGATGTTGAGTACATTGGTGTGAAGTCAGTATATGTCACTTATGAACAGGGTAGACATATAATATATCTAAATATTACGGTAAGTCTAGCTAGCTGTTTGGGTATTTGTAATGGATAAGTGCAACAAGAAATACTACTGTAACAGTTTGATATACATAGAAATTGTGGTCTAGCTGGTAAGCTTAGTTAGTACCTTAAGAAATACAAGCAGATACAATGACTGGTTTGAAAAATGTAACTGGACCTGCTGTGGCTGGTTCCTGTAGCTATAGCTAATAGAGGTGTAGTTGCAAGCTATCACTGGGTCTGCTGTTTTCATGGGAATGGTGACTTTGGAGTTCTCTGCATTATTTTTGGAATGTGAGTGAAATGTGCTGTATGTGTATGTAGGAGTGTTATTAAATGCTGTCCTGGTACTATGCATCTGCAAAGTTGGTTTTGAGGAAAAATGATTTCTTATCCACCTTAAAACTTAAAGGAGTTCTTTCCACATGCTGCTTAACTTCTTGGTAATGCAGTTAATATAGGATTGCCTAAAGGCTTTTGGTGGAGTTCCTCATTTTAAATAAAGCAAAGCAGCCATGGAAGAAAAGGATCCTGTGACAGCTAAATTTCGTGGAGGGAATAATTGAGGGTGGGAAGAAATGGTCAGTATGTGCAGTGGAGGGAAGTTGTACAGAAGTTTGTGCGGCTTAATACAGTCACAAAAAAAAATTTGAGAAAGGGGCTCTCCCCCCTGTCTAATCCAGAAGGCAGGAATTGCATAATTTCGTAATTTTAGGTATTGCTGTCAGACACAAATTTAAAAATGTGTGCTCATCAAGATACAGAGAATGGATAGCTGTTAGTGTTTCGTTTTGTTTTTCAGAACACACTAAATATAACGAACAACAACTATTATTCTGTTGAAGTGGCAAATATCACAGCCCAAGTTCAGTTTTCAAAAACAGTTATTGGCAAAGCACGGCTAAACAACATCACCAACATTGGTCCTCTGGATATGAAACAGGTAAATAGGATAGGCTTTCAAAATTGAATATGTGTTAATCTTCATATATAAATCTGTTCATTTGTTTTTTCATTGATGCTTTTTTTTAGATTGATTATATGGTGCCCACAGTCATACAAGATGAAATGAGCTACATGTTGTAAGTGTACTCCTCTCTAAATTTAATCACATGGGTCTTATTAAAAATTACGATGGTGCTAAAACCAACTTTTTTCAAAGTCAGCAGAAATGTGTTTGCAGAGGTATTGTGGCATTTTCTTTGTGTGAGTTTAAGAGCTGAAAAAGACTTAAAACTTTAAATAAGCATTAAGTGTTGTACTTCTGTCCCCTCTTAAAGGCATGTAAGTTAGCTTTATGTAAACACTGAATGACTGAATGCTGTGAATCTGCTTACCCTTTGGATGTATGAGGAATAAATAAATGTGGCCTTCATAGAACTCGTGCTGATACCTACCTAGTCGTGCTTTTGGTACAATAACACATTGAAACTTGTTTCATGGTCAGTACTGTGGCCTTAATTCCAGTTGTTGAGAGTCTGTTCCCAACAATAGCTGCAAGCTGGTGACTAACCTTAGGAAAAACTGGATGACTTTGGATGTATAGAGACAGACAGACAGGTAAAAGCTGTTCAGCCTGTCGCCTGAACTGAATAGATTTCAGGCTCCTCTGCTTGATAGCTGCAGCCTTGGCAACAGTGTGGAACAATGATGTGTTTGCTGGTCTAGCTCTGAGGCAGGTTGTGCAGTCTTGGAGCAGAGGCAGAGAAATGGTCATGTGTCAGTAGTCTGAAATGTGGACTTGTACTCCTTCAGGACAGCAAGTGTTTGTGAACATTACTAGAAGAGCAAACTAATAGGTGATTTGTATGCATGTGAAAATGCTTGTTGCTTCAGCACAGTGACGCTAAGCACGGTCTATAACTGGTAATGAGACCCACTATAGATGTTTGTGTCAATTAGGGGTCTAAGTTCTTGTACAGACTGATACAGCAAGGTCCTAGTACTTGTGAGTAGCACTCACTAGCTTTGTTGTGATACATTTAAAACATAGTAAACAGAATTTGAACCACACACAAAAGTATAGCTGTTCATTTTCTCCGGATTTTCTGTATGTTACACAGTTGGTATTAGTTGACCTCTGTGTTTATGATGTTAAATACATAATATGTTTGGTGCTGGGGAAAAGAATGACAGTGGTATGCAAATATTGTGGGTGGCTGCCATGCAATCTTGTAGCACTGATCACATGCCTTTCATTCCAGAGCTGATAAATTTGTGGCCAAGAGCAATTGATTTAAGGAGATTCCTTTCTGTATATAAATTTGGTAACATGAAGTGAAACGGCAAATTATGTACAGCCTCCGTCTGTAATGCTGTCTTCATCAGCAACGAAGTGGCATTGACATGCTTTAATGTAGTTGTTCAAGTTAACTTTGGTTAGCTTCTGAAAGGTGAAGTGACCACTGTCTCACAGGACACTTTTGTTGGCAACCATTACATGTAAGCAAGCACATGTGACTATAGCTCATGTGAAAGCAAGACTATGTATATAAAAGTAGACCTAGTGAGTATACAGTCACAGGCAGTGTTTTTGAAGTATTTTAGTTGTTCTTGCTAGCGACTCTATATTCTCTATGTACACATATAGCAGAATTTCCCATTGAAGCCACAATTCTTGCTTTCTCAATAGTTACCTGTAAAAGCTCGATGCAAATCTAACAATTGTTGTGGTTTTTTTTGCAGTGACTTCTGTACTTTAGCATCTATCAAAGTGCATAATATAGTAGTGATGATGCAGTAAGTATGCAAATTTCCTATTTGGAAACAACTTTAAAAGCCATGTAATTCTCATTGAAATATTAATTAGAAATACTAATCCTGGAGTTTGTGCATCATAGATAAAATTAAATCAACTTGCTTTCTAGTGTAGTGGCTTCATAGTTCTTGAAATTGAACTGTGTCTTTAGACAGGTTCTGGTAGTGTAAAGACACTTCAGTAGATGGAACTGTTATTTTTGTACCTGTTCTGCAATTAGGCTGTAGCCACGGAGCTAAGGTCTCACATACTTTGAAATGAGCTTAGGTATGAGCCACTGTTCAAAAATTGTCAAGAACTTCATGATCTTGAAGTGGTTACAGACTCCTGGTACTCTGCCAGAGTCTGCTTTTTGTGACTGCATAAATAGCATGGTGGGGTTTGGGGGTGGTTGGGGGCAGGGGAGCTGAAGAGTTGTAGACCCACTGTGGCTGTAGCTTCTCTAATCAGCATTTACATTCTCATTGCAAAGCAAGAGATTAATGCGTAAACCTTAGTTTACCATCTTGTTTACAAAAAAAAAAAATCTGTGCTCAGGAAAGCAAATGTCTTTCATGGAGAAGATCTGTAGTGGTAAACTAGTATTGGTTTAACTTTATTTAAAACTGTCTTCTTAATAATATTACATATTTTGTTCCAAAACTTTTTCCTTAAAAACCCTAATAACATAAAAACACTGATCTTTAGGGAACTCAAGTTCCTTACAAAACAAATCTCTTATGTTTTGTCTTTTTAAGAGTGACGGTGACAACCTCTTACTTTGGCCACTCTGAGCAAATATCCCAAGAGAGGTACCAGTACGTGGACTGTGGAGGAAACACAACCTACCAGCTGGGCCAGTCAGAATATTTAAATGTACTTCAGCCTCCGCAGTAAAAGCACCTGTTGGTTAGCATGGAATGACTGCTGTTGGTGCTTTGCAGAGATCCTTTGAATAGGACTGGTACTACACGAAGGGGGGAGTATGTGCATGTAAAGCACAGCGAACATGGTGACCTGTTCACTTTAGATGCAAGGAGAGAGAAGGTGCAAAATGTATATAGATGCACTTGTTAAATGTTGTGTTTTCCCCTTCTGTTTGCTTTCTATTACAGTAAGCACTTTTCAAGCTGTGTGGTGGGAGGGAGAGGGGGAATATCAGATTCTTGAACTGAATTGGGACCTTTCCTTACAGTGTGGTACATCAACTTAGAGTAACTGTGTGTATGTCTGTGTTTAGGTGAAATGTGTCACTAATGAGCATTTTAGAAAAAATGATACCCATAAATTTTAAGTTTAGTCTTCAGTTCTTGGTACTTGACTATTGAAACTGGCACTGTTACAACTTAAGTAACAAGATTACTTTGAGGTATCTGGGTGTGAAACTCCTATTAGTAAACCAGTGGCAATAGTTCTTTACTTTGGGATTCTACTTTTCATTTGCTATACATGATTAGAGGTGACATGCTGTCTGTGAAAGCCAGGAAAGTTCTCTTGGATGACACTATACTTGAATGTGAAACTTCCAGAATCCGGCAATCAATTTTTCATTCCTATTTCGTCATGCTACCTCTGGGATGTCATAAGGAAAATGTGTGTCATTAGATTTAAAATTGGGTTTAAAAACAAAACACAACCCCCAGAATCATTACTGACAAAGGAAAAATTCAAGACTGTTGAAAATTAATTGGTAAAGACTTCGACAGTGTCATTCTACTTTGTTCTTTAGTAAACTTTTGAGTACAGCTATTAAAATCAAGATTGTGCAGTTAAAACTAGGTGGGAAACTGAGCACGGGTTTGGGCAGCTGGATGTAAATTTTCATCATTTTAATTGTTTTAGTATAACTGTGTATCTAAGCTACTTCTAAGTGTTAGTATGTTGGGATGTGTATATTTAGTGTGCGGACTCAGTAAGCGATACAGTAGCTACCTGAATCTCCAGAGCACTCTCAGTTCATGTCAATTATGTAAGGCAGAATAAAGCAATTCTTTCTATAAGACTAAATGCTGATGTAATAATGAGACTGACTTACAATAAAGCTATTAAATAGTTTCAGTAGGATAGTTTGCACAGTGAGAATTTCCGGGGTTATCATCAAACATGGTGATTGTAAATTTTGGGTCCAAAGTTGCTTGACTTCTGAAGGCTAACTGTTCTAAGGGTTAGGTACAAAACTTTTTAACTAGATCAGGATTGTTTTATTTCTGAATTAGATGCAGCTGTAAGAAGGTACTATTAAGAATGTTGCATTGTAATGAATAAGATACATTTTTTTAAAATAGATGTTGCGGTTTTTATGCTGCCCATCTCCTGGAAAAAAGCTATATAAAATGAATTAGCAATAAACACTATGAAAAAAGGCTGCTGAGTAACTTCTTGCAACTAATAATTTCTTAGTACTTCAGTACATGTGTGTGTTACTCTTTTCTTTATTGGCCTTTCTTAGATAGACCTGATGGGGAGGGAAGGGAAGAATATAGATGATACCAGACTCATTTAAAAGAAATTAAGTAACTATACAAAAACCCCTCCTCTGAATGCTATGAGCACTTATTCTGATTGTCTATGAAAAATTTTGGAACCTAAACTCAGTTTCGTGTAATTGTTGGTAAGATGAAGATGTCAGCTTTCAGAGAACTTCTGGAAATGGAATAGTTAATTCTGATGACTTACTGTAGTTATATTCTGAAAATTATTCTTGAATCTGGGCACTTAAACATTAATTACAGATTACAATCATAAGGGAAACTAGTTCACAGTTGACTCTTAATCTTCTTAGAGGTTCAGTCTTGTGGCTGATAAAATGCATACAGAAGCTTGTCTGATAGTCTGAAGATATATAGGTGATAACTAAAGACCAGGAGGGTGGTGAGAGAATTCTGATTTAAACCATGTCAGATCTGAAGTCAGCCAGCAAGCGATACGGGGTTTTTCTTCTAGGCCTAAGTATTTATACCTAGAGTGTGTGTGTTGGGTTTGTTGTGGTTTGTTTGTGCTTTTGTTTTGGGGGGGGGGGGGGGGGGGGGGAGGAAATAAATAAGGGTGGGTAAAGTAGAAGAAAAAGAAAACAGCTCTAGGCAGGTATTTATATAAATTTAAAACAAACTTTTCTTCAAAGGATAAAAGGTAATCCAAAATAACTGGAATGGCACAATGATAAAATTATTTGACAGTAGTGAATGCTGCTTGAAGAAGCATGGCAGGGGGAGGTTACACTGTTTATACAGTGTTGAGACTCAAACTGACCTTTGAAAGTTTGGCCAGACATGCTCAGCAAAATACATACTTAAATCTGTGGACCTTACATTGAATGAAATGGTTGGTATTGGCTAATTAAAATGAAGAACTGTGCGTGGAATTATTCTTTCCATGTATGTGGCAGAAGGGGGAAGATACAACTCTTATTTTTAATGTCTGTCATCTGGGATGCGTAATGGATGTAGACTACTGAGTGATTAAGTTCTCACCTTAAAAAATAAAGGCTGGAATAAAGATCCTCTTGATGAATCCTCAAACTAAGTCAGTTACAGGAGAATCAAAAGGTTCCATGTGTGATAGTGTGTCCTTGCAAAACTGTCAGCATATGACTAACAAAACAGGTCAAGATTATGAACTTAACTGCTTATCTGAAGAGATGTGATATTAAAATTAGTAGTTAAGACCTCTGTTTGAATACTTAATTTAGACTTGATTTTTTTGTGGCTGAGCTTGGAAACATGCTAAGGGAGCAAAGGAAGTCAGTATTAACTTGTATAACGTTGTAAACAAGCTATGAGAATAGATCTAAGTGACAGACCTGTAATTGTTTGACACATTTTTTAATCTTGATGTTTAAAATAAAGGCAAGTGTTTCAGTTCACTGTATGTCAATAAGTACAAATTCTCTCCAGAAGGTCAACTTCAAGAATCACAAATTTTTTTCTGGTTTGTTCTCCTTATGTGTGAGACGGTTTCTAAAGGATTTTTTTGAAGTGATTCATATTTCACTTGTAACTTCCCATAATCTTCAAATACATATATACTGGCATTGTACTGTGGTGTTTCAAGGGATTTATTTTTAGTACAATTCTTTTCACTTGAATTCTTTGTAGCAATTCTTGTACCAAAACCTGTTGCACTTTAATATGGAAGCTCTGGTAGTTATCTCTTAAAACAGTGGTCCAGGTGTTGCACTGTAATGGCACTACTGAAAAACGGGACTTAATGTATACTTGATAGAATAACTGTAAAATTTCAAAATTATAACAAGGTAAATTAATATGGAACTCTTAAATGAGTAAAAATGTTGGCTATTTGGATGTTCTGACTTGGAAAACAAAATTATTTTACACTTTAAATATGATGCTTTAAAAATAAATGAATTAATGACGTTACCAAATAAGCTCAAAGATCTAACCATCAAATATCCATTTGGAGAGATTTGAAGGGAAGCACTCTTACTAAAAGATGTAATTACCTGACACTTCCTTCTTGAATTCCTGGTGTGGGGAAGAGCATGTAGAAGCTCATTCATTGTTTACTCATCTTGATATTTAGGGGATAGTTGCTTAATTCTTAACCTTTTGTGAAGACAAGTGTAACCATCTTTTGCCTGTGTGATACAGCTTTGAGTTCTTAATGCACTTCTGACGTGTACATGACCTTGATATTAACATTGTGGTGTTTATATTTTGCAGCCTTATGTTGGCAGACTTACGTACATGCCTTAGTTGACTTTGCTCCAAATTGTCCTTGAAGTTCTGCAAGTGAATAAATTTTTTCGTAGTAGTACATTGCAAACATGACTCTGGGCTTTTTAGCATGTGGTGTATAAAGCTGACCATTTAAGCACTGAATCTTGAAGTGCTTGGATTGAACTGTTAAGGTCTTTAACCATCTGATTGAAATGTCATGCCCTTGTGATGGGAAGGATAGTGCTTGGAGAAGTATGCAAAACATCTCTAAACTGAGAAAATGTTAAAGTGTTATTTCTTATTCAGTATTTAAGGCTTCCTTTTTTTCTTTTTGTGGTGGTGATGAGGTGGCTAGTTGTGGTTTTGCTTTTCTTCCCACCTTCCAAGTCTGTAGCGGGATGTCTGTCTGTTCCCAGACAGCATCTTCTGAAATGGGTGACTTGTTTCAGCGTTGGGCAGCTATGTGAAACTTAACAACAGTTGGACTGGACTTCAAGAGTTAAGAAGTAAGACTAGTAGTAATACCTCCGAGAACTAAATTTTTCACTTGCCCATCTAATAAAGTGCCACAGCCTTAGCAATGCTTCCAGGCTTACTATTGCTTCTGAAAGGAAAGGATAAGTAATGTAAGTGCAACCAA